GGTCTGTAAGAAGGAATATATGATCACGTAGGAGAAACAGTTGTAGGTCCTGGCTTTCGGCAGTAAATTTCCAGGTGCGAAGACTATTCCAGGAGAGCGGGTTGGACAGATTGCAAGTGACCTGTTGCCGAGGGCATTGCCAGAGTAAGCCGTGGTTGATGCTGGATGATAATCTTGACTCTCTCAAGTCGATAGAAAGTTCATTGCGAAACCCTGCGCTTGATCCCACCATATCCATGGTATAATTGATGGTAGAGTCGGCAGCAACACAAAGGGAAAGCCACCCGAATGGGCGAATTTCAGGGCCAAGGTGCCCCTTGTCACCTTCTTTGGCTCGAGCTTTCTTCTGATCATTTGGCTTCTTTGCTCTCGATGCACCTCCAACGGCATCAGCACGGCCCTTCCATTGCCAATCCTTGGACGACTCCCGTGTCGGAATGCGCAATGTCAATTCCTTGTTGATTTCCACGCGTAACCTAAACGCCGTGCTTTGTCGTAGAACACCAGGGGCTAGTTGCTCTGTCGGCTCAGCGTTGCGATAGAAGTTTGGAAAAAAGATATTCTGCAAGCCAACCCGCTCCCTATCAGCCCATGGTCCGTAATTTATCGTACCTCCTTCAACCTTGATGTCAATCCCCCATTCCGGAGGAGGAGCATTATTGATATTGTTATCCATTGGTTGAGACCGAACAGTTGATGCTGGTTGGATGACTCGTCCAGGGATGTCCCAGAAGTAGGCTATATTCAAGATGGGGCTATCCACAATTGTAGAAAACCTGCCATATTCGACTGAATTCCATTTCTCGTGGTCGTCCTCGCTATCTTCGTCTAGATACCGAGAGAGACCAGTCCAACGGACCTCAGGAAACTCTGCCTGGCTTCTCGGCATACTATTGGTGTGCCTGCCACCGTCATGGAACGATTCGACAGATGTCTGAAAATATGGGACCAAGTCTCGAACGCTGTGCCATACTCTGCGCCTCTGCTTTTGATAGTTGAAGATATTTTGCGGTTTTTTCTTAAACTCGGGCTCTGTCTCTTGCATAGCACCTAGATCTTTGGCGGTCGCTGACTGGTTCTGCTTGAAGTCCGGATTTGGCCGCATTTGAATCACTGGATTATTGAACTGAAACGAAAATATTTGACGATACAAATCAAGAGGGCTCGAATTGGAAGCATCGATGGTACCTGTTCCCGTATCGAATATCGCTGTCAACACAGATCGGGTATGCTCATTTCCCATGACAATGGCTCCTTTCTGGCAATCCACCCTTATGGGTAGGAGTTGTAACATGTTGGATACAGGGTCCGATAGTTCTGATTCACGAATCGTAGTTTTCTGTGACGCAGCCCTGCTCCTCTCACTCATGCTGCGCTGCGGCATGGTTGGCTGACGGCCAGTCACATCGTCAAAATCAGAGGCGTTCCCTGCATTGTCATTTTCTGCCATGCCGCGAGCCCCTGGGGGGTTTGAAGTGTCGTCATCTAAATCAACATTTTTAGGAGAGTATCCAAAGCCAGTAAGGATACTGTCATAGGCGGGAGTCCGGTTGTAGATGAACCACTCAAGGCCATATGTGTTGATAGTAATCCGACACGGCAATTTTGTCGTCTTTCCTATGCCTCCTTGCTCCCCCAGATTGTCGTCTGTTCCATCGCGCGGGGGCTGCGCATGTCCTTTCCTTGAGGTATGATGACCAAGATCTGCCTTACGCCGAATACCCGTCAAGTCATTTCGCTCGACTGTACGCGTCCAATAGCGCCATGTTATGAATCCTCCATGAATAAAGATCGTTTCGTTCACGCCATGGTACCGAATGCCCTTGAAGAAGATTCTCCCACCAATTAGCGAGATTTGAAGTGCGTTGATATCGACATATGCGCGGTAGTAATGCCAGGTGTATGCTCGAATTGCGTAGGAAATGAGGTTCGCGAAAAGCCGATTGAAGTAAAGCAAAAAGAACAGAGCGCTATGCCGGCGATCAGCGTAATCCAGCTGCCTTGAACAGCACAAACTTACAGAATGCAGGACACAATAAGTTCCAAGAGAAAAAACCTAAATCGATCAGTATAACGGTCATGGTCTAAGTAGCGATTCCATACCAATTAAAGCTAGGATCCGGCGTCAGGAAGACCGATGTCAAGCTTGTATTAACCATCTCTCCCCGCTAGCCAACATGGACAGCGCCAGCGCGATAGAACGCGAGTGACGAGCCAAAATTGACCTCTCGATCATCGACACCAGACTGGCTGGATCAAATATCCCGGAAGTCGCAAGGTGAGGACGTTGTTTAGGAAGCCCGAGAGCGGTGTCACGAGAAGATCGTCATCGGACAACACGCCTCCTCATTCCGAACCAACATTTCTCCAGCTTGATTTCCCCCCATTTCGGTCTTGACCAACATGTTTTGCCCCTCTATCGACTCCGCGGAATGAGCTGGATTATCTCCGCAGGCAGAAAGCGGTCCACAACCGTGCTTGTCCCTAAATTTCAGCAATCATGACGACCGCAGCTGGTGGAGGAACAGGCTCCAGCCTGGCACGCGCAATTATCATTGTCACAGGTGTCTCGGCCTTGATTTCCTCGCTGTTGTCCTTTGTGTGAGTCTAATATATCCTGTGTATTCTAATTCATGGGCGCAATCATTGTAGACCCCTGAGCTAATATGTTGTCTCGACCCGCAGATCCATATGGCTTCAAACGTATGAGCTTACACCATCCCAATTCCCGAAACACAACTCACGATATATATAGCAAAAACTACCGGAAACCCTTGCTCCAACGTTATGTGGTGCGCATATTGTTGATGTCAGTATTGGCTCAAGTATCAGCTCAGGGGCAGAGACAAAGAGCAAGTGCTGATTGAGCTTAGGGTCCCGATTTATGCAGTATCATCATGGACGAGCATCGTGTCGTTAATGGCGTCTCAATTTCTGGATCCTGTTCGCGATATCTACGAGGTATGTGGGGCCCTGGCCGACTGTCGGATAGCCCCAGTATTAACGGATGTCATTGCAGGCTTTCACTATCTATACCTTCTTCCAGCTCCTCATCAACTTTCTCGGCGGCGAACGGGCCGTGATTATCATGGCCCATGGTCGCCCTCCTATTTCCCATGCCTGGCCTCTGAATCACTTCCTCCCAAAGCTTGACATCTCCGATCCCCACACCTTCCTCGCTGTCAAACGTGGTATCCTGCAGTATGCCTGGCTGAAGCCCATTCTTGCTCTCGCCTCCGTCATAATGAAGGCAACCGACACGTATCAAGAGGGCTATATTGGGTTGAGTTCTGGATACCTCTGGACAGGTATCATATATAATGCCAGCGTCACGATCAGTCTTTACTCCCTTGCCATGTTCTGGGTGTGTCTGCATGATGATCTTACGCCATTCCGACCAGTCCCCAAATTTCTCTGCGTCAAGCTTATTATATTCGCCTCATATTGGCAAGGCTTCTTCTTGTCGATCCTACAGTGGCTGGGGGCGCTTGGTAATGTTGCTGGGTACACCCCTGACAACCTCGCAGCGGCCATTCAGGATAGTCTCATCTGTTTTGAGATGCCATTCTTCGCTATGGCTCACTGGTATGCATTTTCGTGGCACGACTATGCGGACTCGACCATCTCAGCTGCACGCATGCCTGTAAAATACGCGCTGCGCGACGCGTTTGGAGTGCGAGATTTGGTTGAAGACACCAAGCTCACTCTTCGCGGTAAGAACTACGGATACCGGCTCTTTGACTCGGGTGATAATATCATCCCGCATGAGGAGTCAGGGTCGCGAGTCAAGCGAGTAATGGACGGCATGAGGTATGAGCGTGGAGGTAAAGCAAAATATTGGATCCCTAAACCAGGTGAAGCCAACAGCCGCACGCCTTTATTGAGCGGTGAATCGAACGAGCGCGGCCCCAGACGTGAACGGGTTAGTCAAACCTCGAGAGAGAGATTTAGATATCACAGTGAAATCGGTGAAACTGCAACGGACGACGAGGATGAGCGACTATTTCTCAATGCTCGCGCACTGGAATTCGGAGACTGGAATGTAAGTTGATGCTGATGCATATTGTCCGTAGTGATTGCGATGCTGACCGCGCATAGTATCCGGTGATTACCGCCAACGAGGTGCCAAGAGACCAACGGCTACCACCCTCGCGAAGAAATCAAGATTCAAACCGAGGGGCAAATATCAAAAAGGCCCGTAGGCACAGGAAAAGTCGCGCATCAGATAGTGAAAGCAGACAAAGTCCCAAGCCAAACTCCAATAAACCTGGCCCAAGCTCGGCGACTCCCGGTCCCTTGCAGCGAAACGTCAGCTCCACCAGTTCCAGCGGCACACAGCGCAGCCAGCTAGTTGATCTTGTTCTGGAGAATACAGAGGCCGAGGAAGAAGATCGAGCTCAAATACAGAGAGAGTACGGTTCTGCCTGGGCAGAGCCTGAACCTCGACGATTCTCGTAAGTTCTCAAATGATTGGCGGGTAGCAGCCCTAGAGCTATTAGAGCAGAGTTATTAACCCCGGCTCTAATTTCCAGAAGACCCTCCGGAGAGCCAATCGAAGAGGAGGCTGAAGCCGATTCGACACAGCCAGAGTCCACTCATGACGAAGATGGGCCCAGATGGGACTACGATGGTTTAGAGCAGGACAATAATGTATGGGGCAAATAGCGTGTTCTGTACTCCGTAGCGTGCTTTGCCTTTTGATGAACTTTGAATCATGATCATTTACCTTAGTTACTTATTTACTTATTTACTTATTTACTCATTCTTGGTCTCATATATTTGTATCTGTTTTCTGTATATATTTTTCAAAAGTAAACAGAAGAATGCAAAACATTTTGAAACTCCGAGAAATTCCAAGGAAATGGAATTATCCTTCCAATTTCTGTAAGCGCCCAACTTTCTCATCACAAGAAAAAGTACTTGACAGGCTTGACAGGGTATTATAGCTCAAATAAGCACAGATGTGACAACCCCACCTGGCGCTAACGAATAGCAGTGATTCAACCAGCTCCGTTACCGACGATCAATGGTGCCAGATGCGCTGGCGTCAGGATGTATTGCTTTACTGGGCATAGCCCCATGTCGGTGTGTGCCCAGACGAGTTGGATAAGGCGCTCATATTTGGCTTGGCTTACTCCGTATAGGATGTTTCCATCCCGTCTGAGGGGCTGTTTTGCCTGTGGAACTAGTTTGTTACTCCTTTTTGTTTCTCTTTCTCTTCTCCTTACCTTGAAGGTGATGGATTGATTTCTCGACGCGCTGGTCGCCATTATGCTGGCTTTGGAGAAGGCGGGGTCGTTATTCACTGGTTGGATACGATCATGCTTGACATGTCTACCGGGCGAGGATGGCTGTCAACCTAGACAATCCGAGATCGGTATGTGTGCAACTCCGTCAAATCTCTAGAGATAATCGACTAATATACATCTCAGGCGTTGAACGGGAGATGAAAGTATGCCACACTCAACCGCACCTTGTCCCACCCATGAAGCTGGTGGTATACGATGACCTCCCCAGTCCAAGTATCCATCAACATCGGAACTCACTGTCATCATGGTTCAATGACAGCCGGAACTTGGCCTCGCGAGCCTCTAACCGGGCAAGCATGTCTTTGAAACGTTCTTCAACCACCCCGTTGAAGATTGGCGCACCCTCAGACTTTCGCAGAGTGCAATCCTTCCACGATCATCCGCCACAGTCATTCCGTTCTCCTCCACCACCAACCTATCAACCATTGGACCTCCGCATTCATCGATCAGGCAATCGATTGTCAGACTTACCTTCATTTGAAGACTTCCAGCTAAACGAGAGCACCCAGCGCAAGACGCTACCAGTGCCCGCTCGTGCTCTCACGACTTCAACAGGAGTTCGAGACCGATATTCTCAAAAATCATTTGTAGTCTCTCGCAAGCCAGTTGGGTCTCAGAAACGGCGGTCACTTGGAAATCCGGAGCCTCTGCCCGTCGAAGAGCCTGTGCGTACTACAAGTACTCTGGTTCCGCATTTCTCCACGGTCATTCCCGTCAAGATCCCTCTTCCAGAAGCTCAGGCAGCATCTCTAGCCCATGGCAGGTCAAAATCGGAAGGGACCAATCTCACGCCGAACAACCCGTGGCCAAACGACGCAAATACCAGCCAGCACTGGGGACGAGTACCTCGGACTCCACCCGCACCCAAGAATCTGTACACAGAATCGCCGGATACATCCCCATCCAAGTACTCGACACTGTCTAAGGACAGCTCTTCGTCAGTCAGCTCGCGCACGATGCCATCACAAATCTCATTGCTACGCCGTCCCTCCATTCCATTCCCTGAGAACCGAGACACAATCGATTCAGCCCCCTCCTCTATTTCCAACCGCGTAACTCAGTGGATGTTCCCTATGCCCAGCAAGCCCTCTACGCCCCCAAAGCAACTCTTTTTGCCCGGCGGGAACGAGTTTAATTGGGAGCGAACCCGCACGCTGAGCGGCACCACGGTCGCGTCGACTACCACGACCATCACCGGCGGTTTAAGAGCACGGAACAATAGCTCCATCTCTAGTGTCTTCTCTAATGCTATCACTCCCCGCACCTCCTTCCAGGTCAACTCATCTGCTGCAGAAAAGGATGTTGACTCTGGTGTCTGTTACCCGACCATCTTTGAGGGCCAGCCGCAGCACCATCAGTTCTCTTCGTATCATGATAATGGACATATGCGGTACCATGAGTCTGGTATTGGGTTGGCGTTTTGAATTCTCTGGGTTTTCTATGAAGATGACACTTTTGCCTATTCTGGCTTTGATAATGAGTTGCCCAATCTCTTTCCTTCCCCCTTTCGGTTAGAAATTTGGTCTTCTTTTGGACTTTGTTGGATATTTGCTGGGTGTTTACGTTTCGACTCCTATCTCGTCTATTTCTATTATGCGTTGGAATACCCCCATTTCGATTAAGGTTGGTTAATTATTGAGGGGATTCACCAAGGTGCGTAGCTTACCTAGGAAGTAATAATGAATACAATCTCAATATGACTACATGAGTTCTTAAGTAGGTTTAAAAACACTATTCTAAGAAGCATTCTAGTAGCAGAAGAAGAGTTAGGCAGCAGGAATGTAGAGTTCAAGGTCCAGGCTGATACACATGGCCTTGATATCCGATCCATCTGGAAAATAAGGTGAACGTGCACAAAGTCTGACGCTAACTATCTCAGTAGGGTATCTCAAAAAGGACAATGTGGCTACCAGAAAGACAAATAGGGTACAAGTTAGAGGAAAGAATAAATGTCATGTACAATCACAGAAGATCGATGTCCTCGCTTTTATACAACAAAATCAAAGCTTTAGTCCGTGGCGACTATCTCTACACCGTCCGGAGCAGGTGTACTTATAGAGCCAGTTTTGCGGTGTTTTTGCATGCCCAGAATTTGCCAGGCACGACCCATCATGCCATGGCCTAAGCCCTGAGGAAATTCGACAGAAGCCTTGTGAGAATGTCTGGAGACGCGATCACGCATTGCGCGTTCCTGCTTAGCGGCGACTAGGCGGTCCTGTTCACGTTCGTGATTGACAATTTCATCGCGCCATTCGGCCCAGTGCTCGAAGTTTTCGCGCTGCTGGAGTACCTGGTAACGGAGGCGGGTCCTAGATGGGCGCCAGACGGTGCGGCCGGCGTTATTGCTGTCGTTGTCGTCACTAGCCTGGGCGGCCATCGTGGACTTCAGATCGGTGACACGGGACTCTTTGGTCAGTTTGAGGAGGTGATTCATGACGTCCCGACTTTCGAGAGCAGTGCGTTGGATCTTCTCTTGCTCGGGGGTTGGATTGGCACGCACGAGCGGAGCATCAAGCCAAGCGTGCATTTCAGTAGATCGCTGGACCGAGTATGGGTCGAGAATGTTGGAACGGCGGTTTTCTTCACGCAGGAAACGCACGGCTGCTTGCAAGCTTTCCACTTCAGCGCGGAGAGACTCGTTCTCATCCATTGCAGCTAAAGACGCCTCAGTGGCAATAGCAACGCCGTTGCCCGTGGTCGTCAGACCTGCTGTTCCAGACATGCGCTTCATTCGCTCAAGACGAGCCATGAAGTCATCTCGCTCTGCTTCGGCTGTCTGAAGCTCCTTCTTTTGTTGCTCAACTATTTTTTCAAGTTCACTCGCTGCTGCCTGAATTTCCTCGATTTTGGCTTCGAGATCTTTGACCATGGCAGCCTTTTTGCTTGCCTCTCGCATCCTCGATTCAAGATGCTCGATTTTTAAGCCCTGTTCCTCGAGGGTATTGTCCTTGACCCCAAGCGCAGCTGACGCCTCATGAATCTCATTCCTCAATTGGCGAATCTCCTCGTCTGCATCAGGGGATGTCATTTTGTTGGACTTCAATTCCGCAGCACGGGCAATCCAGGGATATGCAGCCCTCTCGAACTCTGTCGTGCGAGACAGATCTGAGGAGATGGAATCAAGCTCTTCAAATTGATCGCCTACTTCCCGCAATCTAGTAAAGAGCAGTGAAACAGGATCGTTACTTTCATCCGGGGTGTCGGAAGATGAGGTAAAAGCTACGGCGGCTTGCAACATGCAGTCGAGAATCTCCTCTGGGCTGAATTGCTCTGTGCGACCTTCATCACTTGTGAGGATAACAAGGCTCTCACCGATTTTTCGAGCAAGCTCTGAAAGTTGCTTGGTCTCATTTTCGATTTTCTTAAAAGGTTCCTCGGCCTCTCTTGGAAGTGCAAGTGACCTCGAACGCAGATCATCAAGACACCTGCTGATCTTACCCATTGCGACCTTGTATCCTCGGGCCTGGGGGGTAAAAGCGTCCAATTTGTTCAAAGCAATTAAGTTTTCCTCATCGCCCTCTGCCGCCGCAAGCATTTTAGAGCTGATAATGAGCTTCACGCGTGAGATTGCACCGGCTGAATGCTCAATGTACAATTGAGATAAATGGGCCCGCATACACAGCTCATCAGCAAACATCTCCAAACTGGAAGGAAGAAGAGTCTCAGCAAGGTGTGCGAGCAGAGCGATAGACCGTTGCAATTCCACTGCGAGCTTTGCAAGATTCACTTCATCCTTCTTCAAAGGCTCGATCCAGAAGTTCAACATGCGCTCAACTGGCTCCATTTCGAACATTGCGATCTTGATGCCGCCAAATTGCTCGGGCGAGCAAGCTGTGATATAGTTCACAAACCGATCACAGACATTTGAGATCCACATAAGATATTCCAAAACGACATGGGCTTGAAAAATTTCTTCGTTGGAGAGTACTGAGTGCTCAGATCCCTTTTCTTGTAGAGTGCTGCTCATAACATTGGCTTTGAATGCAACACGCTTGAATCGAAGTAAAGCTTGAATAGAATTCCTTTCACCTTCAAAGTACTCCGGAAGGTAGAGCTTGACCATGGAAAGGTGCTGCGCATTTTCCTCGGCCTCCATACGGGCCAGTTCGACGTCGATAGATTTAGTCAGGGCCTTCGATTGATTGGCCTGTAGTTTCATATTCAAATCCTGCATCTGACGGTGGCGCATTGCATTTTCGGTGGTTTCTGCCTCGGAAACTTGCTTGGTTGTGCGCATATCATCCAAGTCACACTGCAGGTTCGTAACCAAATCCCTGAAACGGGTTAATGTGTATTCAAGGTCTTCGATAACTTCGTCCTGTTGCGTGATCTTTCGGCATTGGTCGCTAAACACCCCTTCTCGATACTCAATTTCTTCTTGAAGTTGCTTTTCAGTTTCGATATGAGTGTACTCCATCTCATCACTAATCTCCTTAAGAGATTCCAAATCTTCGATAGCAGCTTTCAGCTCATTAATCTCGTCCTGATAGCGCATGTTCTTGTCTGCTAATTCTTCGATCATTTCTTCGGCTCCTAGTGCTGTCTCCAGTTGCTGCTTGAGATCATCGACATTGGCCTCAGCAACTAAGATCCTCTCCTTTGCAGCCTCGTAATCAGACTTGATGGTAGCGTACTCCTCAAGGTCATCCTCCAATTCTTTAATCTGGGCCTTGAGGTCTGCCTCCTGCTGCTGAGTCATATCTCTCAAACGAATGAGCGCCTCGCGGAGACGTTCATTGGTTTTCTCCATCTGAAGCCACCCGTGAGTGGTTCTGTCTTCGGGTGTGGTCTCCTGGCTGTATTCTTCATTCTCCTCTCGGAGAACCTCAACCTCCAAACTCAGCTCGTCCATCTTTGATCGCAGCGCTGCACACTCGTGTTTGAATGCCTCCGCCGTCTCCTCTGCCATTTCGCGGTCAAGGGTAGCCATTTCCATGAGTGATTCATGCTCTGCCTGCATGCGTTCCACGTCATCAGAGCGAGTCTCAAGTTCTTTTAGCTTTTTGCGCAGTTCAGTAACTTCCATTTGCTGCGGTTGATACTTGGCTTGCAATTTTTGAATGATCGTCTCAAATTTATCACGCTCAGCCTGGAGTTGCTCGAGGGTCTTTAACTTCTCCTTGTCATCGGCTCGTTTCTTTTCCATGACTTTGAGCTTGGCATTGAGCTCTTCGAGTTCGCGATTGACTGCAGCACTCTGCCCCTGGCGTTGAGATGCCGAGAGCGGGGCCCCAGGACGCGAAGCTGCTAGGCGTGTAGTAGCCATTGGCTGTCGGGTGGCCTTCGGTGCAGTGGTCCCCCCGTCCTGCACACCCTCCCCTTCAGGGTCGGGCGACTCAGTATCAGTTGGATCTCCGGATCGCCCGCTCATTCCCATATCTCCTCCATCGGATGCCTTTGTGTTGCTAACCTGCCGTAGTGAAGGACGCTTTGTCAATCCCGCAGTTGGTGAAGTAACAGTGCTTTGGGAACCTGGTCTTGAAGCTCGGCCTGCTGGCCCAGACACTGAGGGCCGCGAGCCTCTAGAGACCGTATGTTGTGTTGGAGAAGGACCAAGGGAGCTTCTATTGCTAGGAGCCAGTCGGGGTCGATTAGACGCCACTGTAGAGGTGCGGGAAGTACTCCCGATGGACGGGCGAATAGCAGGGCCCGCAGCCGTTGCGAGCTGTTTCGTTGGAGACTTTGTAGGTGACTAAAGCGCATAGATTTTGAGTTAGCACAGAAAAGAGCGCAACTATAGGACAAAACATACTCGGAGAGCCGATCGCGCGGCTAAACCCTTCGGCGCCGGAGTAGGAGTGGAGGCTGCATTGGTACTCTGCCGCCTCGCCGCTGTAGGAGGTACCCCAGTTTGCTTTCGCATACCAGTGGAGATTCCGGGTTTAGGCTGTGCTTTGCTACCTGCAGCGCTGGTAGCCGGTTTGGTGGTTTGTTTACTCTCCGGCTGGGGTTGGACAATCTTACCAACCACTGTTGGGCGGACAAACATGCCATGACCTGGACCGCAATCAAAATACCGTTCCCCTTGAACTGCACCATCGTTTTTGCCAGTGGGCTCATCTAATTCGAGGCCTATCCACTGTCCGTCCGCAAAGTGGGTGATGCCAATGAAGCGCACTGTTGCTTGCCGTCCATCAGGCAGCTCAATCACCGTGCCTATAGATAAGGCTTGGCCAGACATATTGAGCAAATTCAAGAGCTACAATGAGCTCTTGAGCGATAACTGAGAACTTATGGTTGTTGGGAGAACGGAAACATGGTAACTCCTGAGTCCCACGGAGCGCGTCAAGTGATTGTCTTATGCCTGAGGCAGAAACGTCTAATTTACCATGTAGATCACTGTACACATTGATGGGAATACAGCTAATAGTTTCTTTATTGTACCATAATAGCAGGCTTGAATCTTGATTTCATTCCAAATAATCCAAAGCCTTGTGTGTCTGGCTAGATAAATAGGCTCATAATCATATACATTCATAGTCGTAAACCAAAAGTCTAGGGGGATAAACAAAGAGTGTCGCGGCCAAGTCCAGGTCTAAGCACCACCGCTTTCGAGTTGCTGTTTAAATGCGTGGGGGAAAAGCGCTCGAAGCTCTTCGAGGTTAGATATCATGTACTTTGAGGCCTGCTTGTGTGGTATGGGGATACCAGGTTCGACGAGGTGAGCCACCGTCCATCCTCGAGCATGGGCATGTACACAATTCAAATGGGAATCATCTGGTTCAACGCCATTAGAACAAAGAGTTCACAACAACCATAGACATGCAGTGGATGTTGACATACCAACAAAATAGCACTGATCTGTGCTAGGAGCCCCAGCTTCCTTCTCCGCTTTAGCGTACATATCTTGACTAGGTTTGCAGACCAAGGGCAAAGTTCCATAGTCACAATAAGTAACACCTTCGAACAGATCCTCAATACCGAGTAACTTCACCACACGCTTTGCATGGTTAACATAGGCGTTTGTGAGCAGCCATGGCTTCACCTTTTTTGTGTCCAGGCTCTCCAACAGTTTGCGCAGCTTGGGATCAGGTTTGAGGATATTATCAAGAGGTAGAGCATCATCAACCTCGCGATTAAACTCAAGGGGGTCGATTTTGTGGTGGCGAGTAAGGCCTTCAATGGCTAATCCATACTCCTTGTAGTACTTCTGATGCAGCATATGGGCATCTTCCGAGTTAAGGTCGAGATGTTTGACAAAAAATTTATCTAGCAAAGGTAAAGTCGGGTTAGTTACATGTTCCAGCGTATTTCGTCGGCTTCACTCACTGATCAGTGCCTGCATTTCATCGTGGATGTTGCAAGCTGCGGGGAGGTACGCTCTGTCAGTAGTAGCTCATAAAGAATGGCAATCAAGAGCCCCAACCTTTAGAATAGAGCTGTAGGAGAACATGGCAGTTAGTAACCAAAATTCCAACTTTAAGCTCTCCCGACTTACACAATTGTCAATATCAAAGAAAAAGATTGGCCGTGAGTCATTGACTCCGTTGGGGCCGTTGGTTGCCATCGATCTTGAATTATGAAATTGGAGGGGTAGATAAGCGGGTGACAGCCTAGACAAGGCCGCAATAGGTGTAATAAACCGACAGGAGGACAATGCAAATAATGGATGCATAGGTCAAAAGCAAGATAAATGTCAGATCAACTTCCTCTTTTCTCTCCTTCGCTTTTCCGCTTTCCCGATGTCCAGCACGCACCCGTGACCTTACCTAATCAGATCTAGCGCCCAAACGGCTAAGATGGCGGACTTTTTACAGCACTTCATTTACTCTACCATCCAGCTCTCAGAGTCTTTCTCAATCGTAGATTGGACTGAGTGGATATTTGACGTGTATTTTACGCGTTGGCAAACAGATCTGCTTCCAGTTTCTCTCATCTTGTTCTAGCTTCACCGATCCCTTTCCCCAGCTTCCCCTAGGACCATGGCCGCAACTCATGGGCCAGCAACTCACCTTCCAGCAGGACCTATGGCTGTTTCAGCCCTTACACCGGATGATGAGGTACGGGAGTACGAAAAGATCCTAGCTATCAATGATCAAGTCTTCTCGGGCACTCATCCCCGGCTCAATGTTCCCCAGCACCTGGTGCGCAAGTCTGGGAGAAATGCCCAAAATGTCCCTCTTAGGACTCATTTACCTAAAAACCCTCCCCCGAAAGCCGTACTGGCTAATGCGCCTGTGGCTGCAACCGCAAAACAGCCCGAAAACAGCTCACACAGTGCCTCGGCCAGAAATACCTTGCCTGCAGCACCACAACCCGCCCGCGTGGCTACAAAACCTACATCCGAGATCGATCCCATCTTTTTGACCAAGTCGGATGATCTAATCAGGGCGGAACTACAGTTACAAAGGCAGAGATTGGAAAGAGCGCTGCGTGATCAAGTGGAGCTCAAGAAACAAGAGACCAAACAGAGACCTGCAGTTCAAGACACGAAGCCCGACTTTGATGTCTCAGAAGTTTTCAAACAAGCCCTTGAGACGGTAAAACCAGTCTCGCTAAGCGATGTGTCCGAGGCCAGTGGACCTGGTGGTGCTGCCAGCGACTCCTTCGACGACAATTCATTTTACTCCAGTAGAGCTCCTGACTCGCCTCCCCAGACGGACGTACAACGAAAACCATCCCCCGTGGCTGTACTTGCACCCACAGAACCTGCCGCGCGTGTCCCTGTACCCCATTATGCAGATGAGTTGCAGCGACTTGAAGCTCTCAACCGTCCTGGATCTGATCAGGAAATGCCAGATGCTTATATTGTTGCTGACCAGCGTCACTCCCATTCTCAGAAGCAGGCCCGCTACCACAAAGCAGAGGCTCCCGTCAGCCGCTTCCGCGATCCACATCAGTTCGAGACTGTGGACGAACCCGAATACTCTCCACCTGCTCCAGCGGCGCCGCCAGCTGACCATCGTGAATATCCCCGTGGTGTAGAAAGTGGTGCTGGAAGAAAATCTAGGCAAGATGCCAGATATACCGACCGAACCAGAGATATCCGCAAACCCCCGTCTCCCACAAACGTGAAGGTAGTTCGAAACCACATCACATCACCGGCAGCTCCCCGACCATCTCGAGTGTCACCTCTGGCTACTGCCAAGGTTCCTTCTGTCCAGCAAATCCGTGATGAACGATCTGAACATGGTGCTGATCCAGTGTACTTGGATCCTGATTCTGCTCGTGGCAGTCCCCGTTCACCAGACTTCCAAGTGATGTCCCGAAAACGGAGGAGGCTGCGTGAAGGTGATGAAGGGCACCGTCAAACCTCACACAGGACACAGAATGTAGAACCTGTCGAGACATTCATCAAAGAGGAGCCTGTCTCACCGCCACCATTTGCCGACGATCCTGCCATTGTTCGCGGCCGAAACCTCGCAGAGCGCCCAATCTACATTGATATCGCATCCCCTCAATACACTCCGGTATACGAAAGTCGCGGACCACCAGTGCGAGAGCCAGTTTACGAGATTGACCCGTACCGCGAGCCTCAACCAGATGCTGGGCCTCCGCGCACAATATCTCGTCTGGGCATCAGACGACCAATTCGGGAGGAAGTCGATCTTCGACGAGTTGCCAGTTCGCAGTATGCTCGACAGTCAGAATATGCTCGTGAGTACATCGAGGCACAGCCACGCCCAGTTCGAGCGGCATCATACGTTGTGGAACGCCCTATTCAAGAGCGGCCAAGGTACTACGAAGAAGCTTCTCCTTACACACAGCATCGTTACATTGCTGCGGATGACATGCCGCATCCAACATACCGGGAAACTTATTACGAAGAGGCACCGCCGGTTCGGATGATTGCACCTCCTCAACGTCGGATCGTGGTTGATGAGCATGGCACTCAGTACTATGAGTTGCTGCAGGCACCAAGACTACAGCCGATGGCTCCTCCGCCCCCGCCCCTCCCCCCGACCAGTCTCCCAGATTCCAAAGGATGTTTACGACGAACGAGTGCATCATCACGCTGGCAGCGTTCGTGCGCCTTCAGTTGTGCAAGACCCCTATGGTGAACGACACTATGTGCAAGAAATGCCCCCGCCCCAGCCAGTCTACAGGCGAGTGACGTCAGAGTATGCTCGTCCGGTAGTAGCGCATGAGAGACAAGGCTACGCTGCTCCTTTGGAAGGCCATGAACCTTACTCACGCAGCAGCAGTGTACAAGTAGCGGAGTACCTTCCTCGTCATGCAGTCTATGTGGACGAGCGTGGGGTGCCCCAGGAAAGAATAATTCGGACAGCCAGTGTTCGTCCTCCACAGCCCCGCTATGAAGACCCGCATGAGGTTATTCAGCGAGTTGGGAGCGTGCGACCAACTGGCCCGGGCCGCGAGCCTAGTATCTTCATGGAGGACAGACAAGGGGAATACGTTGAGAGACCGTACTACATTCGGGACCGAAGGTACTATGAAGGTGAAGGCGAAGAGAGGAGATCGCGTGGCGCTAGATGGGCCGAATGATACGATTCAGCGAGGTGCACAGCGTTACTAGTAGTGTGTCACGCTTGGATATTTTCTTCATTTGCGCAGCATTTCATGACTTTCTACCTACATGTATCATTCCAGCGATTTTTACCTTAGGCAATACAAACTTGCAAGGTTCTAAAAACATCGTCTCATCACTATATACCAAGTAGCCTGTTATCAATAGATTCGTACAAGATATGATCATCGATGTTGAGCCGAATGAAAGTCGCTTGATAATCCTTGTTGTACATCAGATGGTTGTTGTTGTTGACATGTAGAATTCCAACTTTCTTGACATTCTTCATTTGAACAACTTGGATGTCAAGCATCTTTTCATTGAAAGACTTCTCAATCTCTGTCAATCCCTCATGCTTGTTCGAAATCTTGGCAGCAGTCACATCCACGAACCCTCGTCGGACATTCTTTTCCGTTGGTAACTTTTCAGAACGAAACTCGCATTAGTTATGGAAGTTTATCCGCATTGTGGACATAAATAAACTTCACCGCTGGAGGCATCATTTGCAGGTTTTGAGCATGATGGAAGCGCGGAGGAATTGAATTCATATGTACGACGAGTCGTACCAGTACCCAGACATAATTTGCATAGATGTTGTAAACTTTTTTTGTTAGATATTAGTATGATTTCTTAATATCAAAATTGCGGTATCATAATTTTATCTGCAAACAGATCGTCAGCCCGTCATGTACAAATAAAGAAAATCCAAGTGTGTTAGGAAACATCCAAGGTAGATTAATTTTGCTGGTTCAACCCTCTGCCTCACGGACTTGTATTCATTTCACATCAGATAGCCAGATATTTTTATCATTGTGAGTAAATCATCAGATTGAAAAATTTATCATCATTTGTGAGTTCTGAATCAAGTATTTCCGGAGGGTTAAAGATGGGTGGATGAAAGCATATCAAATTGCAGGTGGACAATGGTTTTCAACTCACCACTCAAGGACCTTTTCCGGATATTTCAAGATTTGGGGGCAGGGGGGCTGCAACTATATGTTGGGCTTCTTGCTGATACCTGTCTAAGTCTTTTATCAGCCTGCCACATTCGGTTCAAGTCGATAAATGGTAGTATCATTCAGAAAGAAACAAAAATAGGGACATAGCCTTGATTACTTTCGCTTGGATCAGATTGAGCTGAGTGGTTTTCATGGACTTTTCAAAACACAATAATTTATCGTCATGTGCAAGTAAAGCAATAGAGTAAGGCTGTATCGAAAAATGAAATGTATACGGTACTAACCAGAATAAAAATTGCCGAGGGACAAAGTGGTCGAGCTTTTGAGAAAAGAGATATGCGAGACGCAATCTTGCGACTGATAGCCCGTAATAGATCGATTAGAGGTATCTGAATAGAATCATCTCATGGCTAGCTAGTGGTTTCTTTCTCTGTCATAAGAGTGGCATGGCAAGTGTGTAGTATAGTTAGCAACAACTTGTATCAGAGTAATTTTGTACAACATGGCATATTTAGTAACACTGTCATCCAATTTGGTCCTCACTTGCAATTATGGCGTACCATTAATCAGGGCAATTTGGAGAGGATCAATATATCACTACCTTGCTTTGATAGGAAAGAGATCACGAAGAAGCATAAAGATGATATGCGGCTGAGCAAACGTATCATATAATTTGCCTTTGACGCTGGGAAAATGACATCCTTGTAGACAAACCTGCGAGGCCTGGAACTTTCACAATCAGCACGTTAACTATGCTGTTAGTTCCATGATGAGGAGACACGCATCAAGCGTGTCACATCAAATAGATCTCATAGTATCATGGGCTTCCGTATCCTCGACATCCGTATTATCACATCAGTTGGAGCAAAAGATTTGGAAGGGGACTGGGAGAATCGCAAGATAGAAATGTGAGAAGCAGACCATATCGCTGGTGCTGAATCAAGGAAATATCCTAGGAGACATTTGGAGGCATCGAATGAGCCCTAGACTATATCCTAGTCACAATTAGCTTTCAGTGCGATTCAAAGAAAATCCACATAGCCACAGGTTCAGAAATCAGATGGAGGAGAAAATTGAGGTCAACAAACGATTCCTGCCCATGTATGTTGTGTAGCACCTAGCTTTGGCCAGGTCGCCAAAGGTTGCCGAGTATCTGGTATATCACGTTTCACGGGCATGAATGAACAGGCGAGGTCCAAGAAGGACCAGAAGGGTTGATTGCGCTGACCTCTGCGGTGTTTGAGAGCCATGTAGGGCTTTCTCCCTGGGTTCAATGAAACCTTGACGTGGGGTTCCAAGGGGCCACGCTATAGAGGAATGGAGATCTGTCAAAGCAAAAGAAACAGGTCAGCTAATTGCAGATGCCAAATAGAGATTGCTTAGTCCAGTGCTTCAAGCACATATTGGTTCTAATTAGCCATTCACATCTCTCATCAGAGTGACAATTCCTTCGTCATTATAGCTCAGTATCTAGACTAGATCATCATTTGCAATATGGCATCTTAAGACAGATGAGGGGCATGCCCAAGGACCAGAGCGAGGCACAGGACCAACTTACTGCATAGGTTGTGTATGTGACGTCCAAATGAACACCGTTGCGTTGTCTATCAACAAGGTCAGAGCTTTTGGCCTCGACCGTTAGGTCACTGGTAGACCAGGATGGGGAGAAGGTTAGTGGACAAGGAAAGATGCAGATGGTTGAGAGAAGATAAGCTGTCAAATGAGATCAGCTGCAGGTAAATAGAGAAAGAGAAAGATTAGGTAGGTCCTGAAAATCTCTCGCTTCGTTTGCCCACCACGAACCCGTCATACACACACAACACTGTCACAACTATTTTCTATCTCACCCCATCTAGTTACTAAAATTTGGTTTGATATAGTAATATTGCAGAACATTAACTAATCCTATAGGATTTATACAATTATAACATATTAGCAAATGGCAGGATGGATCGATAGCACACAGTGAGTGGGTATTGTTACAGATTGTTGTGATGGAGTTCAAGCATCGCCTTGCCTCAGAAAACAATAGTTATGGCCATAGATGAATCTTTAGCTAAAGTCATCATTCTACAGTGTTGCTATTCCGATTAGATTCTCTATGTTTACATGGCCCGAGTGCTTTGACGGGCTCGAACATAGCCCGCCATCTTGGGTGCAACGTGGTGATACTCATTGTATCAACATATTATCTTAGAGCCACTACAGCCATTGGACAATTGATTTCGAAAGCACTTTGACTTATATGATTATCCAAGACCTGAGACAAAGGCATCAGAGCTCATTAAGACTCTCAATATTGTTAAATAGACCTAGGCACGATGAGCCATATAATCCAGACAAACTGCTGTTCCAACTCACAGTCACGCCAGTTCACCCACTCGAGGATCATAGTCAAATCAATGAGTCTATGACCGACTGACGTTTCAGTGATTAACAGCATGTAGCATAGGATATCCTTGAACTACTATTTACTATTAGTACAATCTAGGTGCATCCCTGAGGCAACTGATATATCCACGGATACGTCGAGCGATTACAAATAGGAACAGAATTAGTACCCTACAGCAAGTTGAAAGATTGTGGCGCAACTGGTAGGCCTCACTCTTATGCAGTTATCCTTACCAGGAATTTTTATGAATTTCAGCTTTCAATTGACCGAAGTCGTCGCTATTAATAGCCGGTGTTAGATCACTATATATTTTACGTGAAGTAGTGTCCTACCACTACCACATGAAGGGAATAGATCTATCTGAACACAAGGATCAGTGACGACTGAGGCGCCATGGTTTTGAACATACATATAGCTAACGGCTAATAGCGATAGTTCTCATCCGTTTACCGATGTAGTCGACATCCACGGGTACCGTACCACAACGTATGGAGTACATACTAGTTCTGTAGTAGAATACGGAGTACTGATGATCGACAACTTGTAGCGATTGATCCGCCTAAGCGGCCCATAGAGGTACTCCATGGAGTTAAAAAGGCTTGTGATGAAAAAAAAAAAACGGTAGATGATTTGACCCTTGATACCACCATAACCTTTGCCACATTTCGCAGTCATATATCCTACATGCAGACATGCAGCCTATTCTGCCGTATAGGGTTTAATTTCCCGACTTTGAAGAAAAAGAACAATCCAACCTTTCACAAGCTATATTATACACCAATTGACGATCTGATTCAGATTTGCATGAAATCTTGAAGTTCCATAATCCAAACAGGCCGATGTGACAAGTCTCCTCTTTGAAACCGGGGACGGGACAACCCCTGCAGTCTGATTTTCAAAATCAACGGTCCAGTCGGAATTGTCGAGTCCTTGAGGTGAAGAAGTGACCCACTACCACCTATACGAGAAGATGACGTCGACTATTTGAGGGGAAGTTATCCCACCTAGGCAATGGTTCCCAGCCCTTTCCCACTACAACATACACATGCATATCGTTTGCGCATACAATTTGCAATTACAGAAGTTGTGTATTGTATGTATCGGAAGCACAACAGGTTCCTGGGCCGTCTAGACATGTCATCCGAAATCAGAATCCAGTTTAGCCATGATCAACCTTAGCCTCCACCTGACCAAGCTTGACCCCTCAGTTCTCTCAGCGTCCGGCCCAGCCGGTCACAGTGATGGGCGTCCTATCACTGCCTCCAGGCCAGTGGATTAGGATACCGCGGCATACAGGGTTCTCTATCCCGGAGCCTATGAAATGATCGACCCGTGTATGCTTGGTACGGTACGGAATGATTCGGATCCCGAAGCGCCTGGAGCCCACACTAAAAGCCAAGTGCACACAGCCTTGAGGCGCAGAATGGTCACTTTCACTCGGATCTCATCACTTCACACACGTGATAAGATAGAATTGGTATGAGACACAGTTTCGAAGGACTTTGGATTCGGGGATACTTGACAATATTAGTTTTATATAAGATAGGATGCCTGTATCAAGTACTAGCAATCTAATATCGGACAGATTCTATTTGCCAAGAAGACCCTTGCAAATGGACATTCAAGATCCTGCATTCTTGATCCAGGGCAATGTGGATTCGAGAGACAGATTCTAAGGGACGTTAAGACTTTTTTAAAATACGTTTTATTATAGCTAAATGTCTAAGATTTCAACTCTCAACTAAAAAGGAATATAAATCAAGACGAAAATTAACTAGACCCGCAAGGACTGACGACACCAGGGTTTTTTTTTTTTCTCTTGTCTTCTATTGTTTTGTTTTCTATTTCTATTTCTATTTCTATTTTCTATTTTCTATTAAGATATATATGCATATTTATATTTTGATCTCATTTCGTTTTCATCTAGTCCTTAAGAGATTTGCGTTGGCCCCATCGATCTTCGTTTCCACCATTCCCGGGTCGAAACGCCCACACTGGTCCATTCCCATCCCTGTCGAGAACGGCCTGATTCCTTCCCACACCCCCCTCAACCGAATCCATCCACTCTTTCTCTCTCTATCCCCTCGACTCGCTCAAGGGGCTAGAGATTTCTCTACCTAAGTCATGCACAAGATATCCAACTTTACGGGCCAAGCCCGTCATGGTTGGGAACGAATGACGCCGACTTTCGGGATGTCCAGACCTCACACCGACATGGCTTTTCGCCGACCACACGGTGCGCCACCTATGACACCGCCAACTAGTATCGATCCTACAGTCAATCTGTCCTTCAACGTCCCGTTTTCGTCGACTCTAGCCGGCCCAGATGTTGAGGATGTACTCCACGCCAGTCCCGGTGCCCTCCAGCGCTGGACTTTCCCGGAAGGCACACTAGAGGGCACATCGGTGCACCAGCTTCCCGTCCACACAAACAATGTTGAGGGTTTGCAGAGGTTATGTCGGAAGATCACGGAAGAGAAAGGAGGACGGGTAGAAGCTACCCTTACGACCTCGGAGGCCAAGGCTGTGCCAGCGCTACAACGCCGGCCGAACGGCTTGGTGACCAACGTCTGTGTCACAGGTGATGGGGAGATGGCGCGAAAGATGCGGGCAAGAATCTTGAACGAGACCCCGATCATGCTGGTACGTGGACGAATTTTTTTTGGGTTCTGACATCACCAGGATTTTCAGGTCTACAGACATCCCTTGCTAACATCGGACCTTTCTCTAGCGATGCGCGACCGTTGACGTGGATATGCATCTGATTATAGATGGATCACCAAAAGGAATTAGAGCTAGCGTCCTCGAGCACCTCGACACGTTGGCCGCCTACACCGGGGCGGACATTTTCCTGCTGACTCCCAAGCTCCATGACGCGGATAGCGCGGTAGTTTCATCCTATGGCTACGCGTCGGACAATGGCTTGGACCAGCGCTTCCGGGTTGCCATTTATGGCGATCTGGAGAGCTCGGAACATGCCAAAACCCGGGTCCTGATCATGATTGACCAAATAGTACGTCTTTGTGTGCGTGTGTCGTGAGGGCCGGCAAACTAACCAGAGACCAGCTCAAACGTCATGTAGATGCCATCAAATTGGACTCGACTATGCACACCTTGGTCTGTGGTCGTACCCGCAAGAACATCAAGCTCATCGAAGCTGCTACAGGCACCGCTATTTACTTCCCTCCGCCTTTCCCCCAAATTTTCGGCTATATACCCCCCGGTGCGAACCGTCGAAGCGAGGATGAAGTTTATATTACGGGTGAGACGCCAGAACAGATTGCTCGCGCGAAGCAGAAGCTGCGAGAATTGGTGATGGGAGTAAAGATTTTTGTCAAGGATGTGGTTGTCAGCTCGAGTAAGATCGACAACATCCTTCTCGATCGTTTGGATAAGGTCCGGAAGGTGATGGAAATGAACGGGTCTTATGTTCTTTTCCCGCAGCTGGGTAGCCAACGCGGTCTTGTTCGAATTCAAGGAACCGAAGTGTTGCACGTTGAGCGAACAGTTAGGGAAATCATGGCCCTAGTGCGTCGCCTTGTGGGATTTTGACGGAATTATCTGCTAATTTTTAAATCCACAGGCTGGTCAATTCTATAGCGCCTCATGGTGGATCATCATGCCAGACCCCGCCCAAGGTGGTCTTCGTGCTCCCTCAACTGCCGATATTCGCTCCATGCTATCGGATATCTGTACTAACTCGGAAGCGGAGGTCAGCTTCGATAATCTGACTTTCACGATCAATGGTTCCGATGATGCAGTCAAGGCTGCCATGACAGTCATTAACCAGATTCCTTTCGTGATGCGAAGCCAATACCAGATGCGAGTGAAGATTGAGCTGGCCAACGAGCACAAGGAGTTTGTTAGTGGCAAGAAGAACGGAAAGATCAATAAGATCATGGGGCAGAGTGAGTTTTAACGGACATCCACCTGTGGCATGAGATACTGACTCGCACTCAGGCAATGTCCAGATCATCTTTGATGGTTTCAATGAGTATAACTTCTATATTGACGTGTGCGGCAATCAGTATGAGTCGACCAAGAATGGCCTGGACTTGGTTGAGCAGGAGATGCCTGCGTCAATCTCGTTCCATGTACCTGACCAGTATCATAAGCGTATCATTGGAATTGGTGGACAGCATATCCAGCGCATCATGAAGAAGTACTCTGTCTTCGTGAAATTCTCTAATGCCATGGACCGCGGCGGCATGGGCAAGGAGGATGACGACATCAAGGTTGACAACGTGATCTGCCGAACCCCTGCTCGCAACGCTCAGAGTCTGGATCTTGTTAAGCAAGAGATTATGGACATGGTCGAGAAAGTTGTAAGTGCTTACAGTCCCCACAGTTTTGATATCGTGATAGAAACTTACAATTTGCAGGATGCAGAATACGTGGCCGAGAGAGTCGTCATCAACCGCCTATATCATCGGGAGCTATTGTCCCGTATGACTGAGATCGAAGAGCTGGAGAAGAAATGGAACTGCAAGATCGAATTCCCAAGCACTGAACTTGCCAGTGACGTTGTAACCATCTCCGGCCCTGAGTATCAAGTCCCCCAAGCGGTCGACGCATTGCTTGGCATGGTGCCAGAGAGCCACGAGCTTCACTTCCAGAGCTCCGCGGAACTTCAAGACTACTTCAAGTGTTCGGATTTCCTCGCCGATGTTCGGACCAAGCTCAAGGAGCAGTACGAGGTTGATATCAACGTGGATGTCGGTACTGATCTTCCTACTACCCGAGAGGAAGGCTCTTCGTCTCCTACTCCCGGGCCTGAAGACCGCGTGGTCCTCGGATATACCCGCAACAACGCCGGCGGCTTGAAGGACGCAATTGATTTCCTGATTTCCCGCCTTGTTGCGCATGGACTTGACGCGAACACCGTCAAGGGTGCTATCCCGCGCCCTAAATCCGATTCGTTCGAAGAGTCGCTGCCCTTCTTCGACTCGAAGCTACTGCAGCATGCCCCAGCACCTCTATCGACCGACTCGCCCACCCGGCCGAACTTCTCCGACGATACCAGCGAACGGGGATCGATATTCGAGCGCCTCCGCAAGCCCGGAAGCATCTCGTCTTTCTCTTCGTTCATCGGCCGCAAGAATCACTCGGCCTCGCCGGGATCGTTCTTCAAACACGCCTCGAGCAACGCCTCTAAGGCTTCACTCGTCTCCATGGAGTCGCGGGACAGCGGCTACCGCAACCCATGGAATGACTCTGGCGTGAATCTCCCCGAAGACGATTTGCCCGTCCTGGGCAGCTCACACAGCCACAAGAGCAGTACCAGCAATGGCTGGCCCACGCGCTTCGACGCTAAATTCCCCTTCGGCACTGCGCCGGGTGACATGACACCAAAGCATGACCCGCGCACCTCTTTTGATAGTGGTCGTCCTAGCACTTCCAATTCTACTTCTGGATACCCGGCCCCAATTGGGCCACCGCGTTAAAACCAAAATATCCATTTGCAGCAGTATACCCTTTTTTGGTTGAGTTGTTTTTCTGTTTTCTTTTTTCCTGCTTTTATTCATTCCCAGCGTGTTTTTTCGGTTGTCTTTTTTGTTGGTCTTCTTGTTGATTGATACCACGGAACGCAAGCAATGAAGGCGTCAGAAAAGAAAACGAGATATCCAAGATCTGCGTGCGATAGAGCAGCGATTCATGGTCTCGGCCATATCCTGCCTCTTTTTTTTTGTTTTTTTTTTATTATTTCGCGGTGCGCATTCGAAGGAAAGGGTGGGATTGGATAGTCTTCGTTGATACCAGAAACTGGCATTGACTTCAGAGGAGTTTTCCGATAAGTTGGGCTTTTATGTTGATGTTTTTACTCTTTTGATATCCCCAATCATCAATGAGATTTTGCCATTAGAAGATATTCTCCAATCTAAGTTGTTTTTTGAAGGAATACTTGAGAATAGTGACACCCTTTGAGCATAACACCTGAGCAGCCAGTATATATGGCGCTAAGTATACCTGAAACCTTAATATGAACCTCATAGATAGCTTCCAGTGACATCGATATGCTCCCCGCAGCTAGTGACGTTATAGACGCGGGGTCGAAGTAAAGACACCGCTACTCCTCTCCCACACCCCAAATCACCAATTCATGCCCCAAAGGACCATAAAATACCATTGAACTATATAGCTAAACTCCCTCAACACCCACAATGGCAATATCCTACCCCCGTCCGGACTTCCAACGCACCCCTCTAAACTGGGGCACCTTGGACGGTCCCTGGACCTTCACCTTCGACGACAAAGACGAAGGCCTACTCGCGAAATGGCACAAAACAAGCCTGCAAGGGAAATCTTCCCACCAGATAATAGTCCCATACGCCTTCCAAACCCCAGCATCGGGGGTAAACCTCATCGAAGCACACGAGGTAATGTGGTACGAGCGACGCATCACAGACATCCGCACTGCCGATGAAAAGCAAAGGGGAAATAGACTCCTCCTCCGCTTCGGCGCTGTCGATTACGAGTGCTCCGTCTGGGTGGACGGTGTCCTTGTCGGCGGACACCGTGGCGGACATGTGCCATTCGATATAGACGTCTCCGACGCCCTGGCCGAAGGCGCTACCGAAGCTCGTCTCACTCTCCGCGTTAGAGATTCACCTTATGACTTGACCCAGCCGCGTGGTAAGCAGTTCTGGGGACCTGTTCCGGAGAGTATCTTCTACACGCCCAGCGGGGGTATCTGGCTTTCTGTTTGGTTGGAGAGCGTTCCTGCTATGCGGCTGCTATGTGGGAGTGGAGGCACCGTGCTTCGTTCTAATGATATCGAGGGCAGGAAGTTGCATGCAAAGATTCAAGTTGCCGGACGTCGGGCTGGAAGTGTGGCGAAGGTCGAGGTTGAGGCATCGCTTGCAGGAGTAAGTGTTGCGAAGGTGGACGGTGAGGTTCCGCGGGATAAATTTTTCATTGCACTTGATTTGAGTATGAAAGTCCCTGAGGCTGCGATTGCGAAGTTGAAGGCAGCGAACCAGCAGCTGTTTGATGTTGATGGAGCCTGGAGTCGGGGTGTTGCGCTCTGGGCGCCAGAGCATCCCATTCTCTATGATATTACGCTTCGGCTGTTTGATGGGGCAGGCCTTCTTGTTGATGAGGTCCAGACTACGACCGGCATGCGTAGTCTATCCTGGCAAACCGGCGACGGAACATTCCGGCTGAACGGAAAGCCGTATTTCCAGATGCTATTCCTGGACCAGGGATACTGGCCTGGAACGGGCATGACACCTCCTTCTTCAGAGGCTTTGAGGACGGATATCGAGCTAGCGCAGAAACTTGGGTTCAATGGATGCCGCAAGCACCAGAAAGTCGAAGACCCGCGCTTCTACTACTGGGCGGACCGGATGGGCTTCCTCGTCTGGGGCGAGATGGCAAATGCCTACGAGTTCGACTCTAACTACATTGAGCGGTTTACTAACGAGTGGACCGAAGCCGTGAAGAGAGATATCAACCACCCATCAGTGATCACCTGGACGCCAATTAATGAGTCCTGGGGTGTATCTGCTTTAAAGGACAATATCGAGCAGCGCAATCATGTTCGCGCTCTGTACTACTTGACCAAGTATGGCCCACCCGGTGGCGCATTGTCTACGTGTCCACGCTGCCAAGAGGAAATAAATGAGCTAGCTAACACAAAAACACAGGGACCTCGACCCTAGCAGGCCAATCAACGACAATTGCGGTTGGGAACACGTCAAAACAGACCTTACGACTTTCCACGACTACAGAGACTCAGCCGAGCTTGGTGGAGCATGCACTAGCATATCAGGGATCCTCGAACCGAAAGGTGGACACGAGGTTTTCACCAAACCAATCTACTCGGGACTACTTGGTTCAACGATCGTCGACAAAGGTGCCCGGCATACGCCTGGTGCACCGGTGATCTGCACCGAGTTCGGCGGTGTTAATATCGCACCGCCTAAGAACTCTGCTGCCGCCGGGGAGCGGGACTGGGGTTATACGACTGCGAGTGACCCGGCAGATTTCTTGGTTCGGTTTGAGAAGTTGGTTATGGCGGTTGTGAGACCAGGACATATTTGTGGGCTTGTCTGGACTCAGTTGTATGTTGCATTCTTGGCTTTTGGGGTTGGGATCTGCGAATTTCTGCTAATATGAGAATTTTCTCTAATCTAGGTGTGATATTGAGCAAGAGGTGAATGGTCTATATACCTATGATCGTAAAGAGAAGGTTCCTGCGGAGAAGGTGAAGGCAATTATGGATGCTGCGAGGGACCATTATTACCATCATGTCACGTCTCATCACTCGAAGGGCTTTAAGAAGCTGCTGGATCAGTATAAGCATGTTGTGCATCGTTAGGTCCAGGAATGGTTATTGTGGATTTGAGGGATATCCGGTGACATGATAACTTCAAAACCATACATACTCACCCGCAAAAGACATCATTATGTTGGGTAATTCTAATCTATAATGTTGAGCGCTGAACTGCAATTGATATTTTCCCACAGAATATACAATAGAGTTTAAAACGTTCATCTGGTTAGGCTGAGAGACGAAGATGTAGCGCTCTGTCGATATCTACACATGTGTATGCACTCGATATATTTTCGGGTTATGATCAAGCCCCACTCCTACGATACGATACGTAAGGCCTGAATTCAACATCGTCATAACATATATTATTGTCACTGGGCAAGAAGAAAATATCTCATTAAGTGAAGACTAAAGAGCGGAATAGCTCAAAGACCACGACGCTGGATGCTGTGCTCGAAAAAGAAAGTCCCAAAACCTCAAAAACTCCAGAGATGCCGAGACCCCATATAAAGAAGTAAAAAGAAATGTACTAGATAGGTGCAGGGATGATGCAAAATGCATATTACAAGTAGGATTATCACATGTTAGCCAATTCCTGGTCGATCTGTCGGTCCAGGAAGGCTCGCTTATCACCCGTGAGGGAGGTTTGCAGGCGTTGTTCGACAAGAACGCGGACTATTAGGCTAAGGTTAGCAAACCGTATAGGTATTATTGAGATTGAGTTAGGAACTTACCCTGCTTTTTGGTAACAGTATCTAGATCAACCTCGGCCAGACAGGTGCGAATTGCCTCGGTGATGGCAGCCTCATCGGGTCCATTGCCAGCACGGAAATCAAAGGCAGTACTGGCGGGTCGAGAAGGGTACTGAGGCAAGGGGCTGCGAGAGCCAGTAGCGCCGAGGAGGTTATCGCTGCTCCGCATCATACCGAGGCTGTGTCTGCTCGATGTCATCTGATTGTCCTGGTAGGCGCTGAGGCCACCCATAGACATGTGCCGGGAAGCCTGGGCAGAGTGGCCACCCATTGGACCGCTCATCTGTGGCATGTCCGTGTAGCGGGACAAGTTTGACATGTGCGAGTTGCGGTTACCGGGGACGTTGCCGCCAAGGAAAGGTGCGGGCGACTGCGGGGGCATGTATGGGTGGCGGCCCTGGCCCGGGAATCCGGTTAGAATGGTGGAGGCTGGCTTGACGGATGAGTACTGCGAGTGCATGTCATCCATTTCCATGGCCATGTCGTCGTACCGGCCGGTGGCGTAGACCTTCTCCTGGCTGGCGCTGAGATCGCCGCGGCGGCCAGGAAGGTTATTGGCCATGGCGTAGTCATCCCAGCGCTGGAGTGGAATGCTGCGTGGCTCGAAGGGCTCATCTTCCACGGCGATGACTCGCTTGTCACCTTTCTCGCCAATGACAACACGGGTGTTACCCCATGTGAAATCGTCTTGTTTCCAGAAGGCATAGAGCGGCAAGATGAAGTTGTAGATCGGATACGCAAGAAGGTAAATGATCATCCATCCAATGTGTTGCCACTGCCGTTTGACAATGAAAATGATTGCTTGCAGACCATACACACCAGCCAACATGATAATCGAAATCATAGGGAAGGGACCTGTGTTGCTCGCAATTAGGTAGATCAGGTAGGTGAGGTATACGCAGGTCGCAGGAAGAATGAGTGTTCCTATGAGATCGACGAGAACGACGAAACGCATACTGAAACAACAGAAACCGCAGAGATCTTCTAGAGCTGCCAGTTCCACCAGGTTGTGGATTGTGGAGTTGATCCAGCGACGTCTCTGCGACATGAGCACACTCCAGGTCTCAGGGGCTGCTGTGCTTGCATAGGCATCAGGAATAAACTTGTATGACATCGATGGGAAGTGTTTGGTCATGATGGTTGTCAGGTAACGATCCTCACCAAGAGAGAGGAGATTCTTCTTGTGGAGGGTGTCAACATCATTGTCGGCGTAATCTTGAATGACTTTGTCCGAGATGATCAGAGGACGTCCTTTGTCTGCAGTTCGAAGGCGATACATGGTGAAACTGGGCATTGTTAGTATCGGATTGTTTGTGAGAGAAAGATGTATATAGGGACTTACCATCCAGGAAGACAAGTAACACTGCCGAAGAGCGATTCAAATGCCTTAGCCAGATGATGGGAAATGTAGTATTCGTAAACCTGAATCATCGTCCACCAACTGCGTTCCTCGTTCTGAAGACTGGTCTCGCCGCAAATGCCGGCAATCTTGGCATCGGCTGCACACGCAGCGACCAATCGATTCAGAGAATCCTCCCTAACAGTGGTATCGGCGTCGACCATGAGACAGTACTCGTACAGCTCTGGATCCACACCGATGACGTTGTTGATTTGGTGGAACATTTCGAGTTCAAGGGGTGACATAGGCGAACGGTGGTGCACGCGGTTCAAGAATTGCATAAGAAGGACCTGCGTGTCTCGCTTACCACGATTGCCAGGTTTGGATTTACGCTGCTCGGATTCCTTGCCAACCTTCACGACCACAATGTAAGGCACGACATTGCCTTCATACTCATAGAGTCCAGAGTAAACCTTGCCATAGTTCAGCTGTTCGCTACCTTGACCAAGGGATTTGCATGGGAGTGCCGGCGGGTCCATCTTAGGATCAACCCCAAGAATGTCCAGAACGATCTTGGGTGTGGGGCGGTCATTTCCGCCACCAACAATCATACCATCACAGATGACAAAGATCAGCTTTCTCTTGTTGTCGTACTGCAAGGCAGTCAGAGAATCAAGACCCTTCCGAAGATCGTTCTCGCCCTCAGTATATGCAGGAACCATGCAGATGACGAACTTGTCCTGAGGCGTGGGCCGACGTTTGGATCCCAGCTGCAGAGCTGCCAAGAATTTGACAAGGATAACAGCGCAGATGAGAACAGTGAAGCTGAGCAGGATCCAGTTGTTGACTGTGCATCGTGCGCTTTCACGGAAATCAACTTTGCCGACATAGAAGACAAAGTCAAGACACGTCTGAGCATCCCTGAAGTCCACTGTGTCCTTCCATAGGTCGGTGACATCTTCGCCCATGTTGTTTTTGAAGAGATCAGTCACAGCGCTCGGCAGCCAATTGAATTGGTCGAGGTTGTCTCTTGTTTTTAGTGTATAGAAGTAGTCCGTCAAGTCATACACCTTTTGGTCCTTGATGATCCAGTAGCGAGAATCTGAGTCGGCCTGCTCCTTGATGGTATTTCTTGTCCAAACCAGGTCACCCTTGTAGTATGTACCAATCTTTGGCAAGAATTTATTTTCATACCAGGTATTCTGGTGGAGTGCAGATGTGGGGCTTAATGACAGTTTCCCTGTTTTGTGTTCAGCCGTAGGATCGGTGATAGCGTCTGTGTTGTTGTGCATCAGGACAATCGTATCGTCTTTGACATATTTAGAACAATACCGGGTAAGTGGAGGGGGAAAGTAGGCATCTAATATCTGCCCTCCAAATGGACGCATGTTGTCAGTGGTTGTATCGAATCCAGTCATGTCACTGTGCTGCGTGCGCCAGAACTTGCTGATATCGTAGACACGGCCGTGGATACCGACAAAGAAGTTCTTATCCTCTGTGTGCCAACTGACCTCCCTCTGATTCCAGGCTTTGTCCTTGTTGGGACAGAGAAGGTCACCAAAAGCGATGATATAGAAGCAGACAATTCCGTTGAAGAGCAGAATCAAGGACACAAGGACGACCTTTTCTCGCCAGGCCAGGCGGACATCCGGGCGCTTCATGCGGCCAACATATCGAAGCACGAAGGAAGGAATCCAGAAGGTCATCGCCCAAACAAAACCGGCCCAGACTCGACGGCTCCAGGTGATAGTTCTCTTCTCAATGTGCTTTGGATCACCAAACTCAGGGTCGAATTCGCCGACGTACCGGCCATATTCGTCGTAGTATGCAATGTCTCCTTTCTTATCGTCACCTTTCCGGCCCAGCCCGTAGTCACCGGTATTGGCAGCGTTGGTGAATGGTGCACTGGGGGCGATGGATTTGGCACCGCCCATCACACTCGGGGCTATGGCGCCGCCAGGTGGCATACCAAGAAGATTAGAGTTTTCCTGGACGGCAGTGCCATCTGGGGTGAAGCCGGGCTCGTACAACGCAGGGCCGTACATGAAGGGATCCACGTGAGTTTCGTCTGGCTTGAGATCCAGCATACTCTCTGCTTCCCACCATGCCCCCTCGCGCATCCATACGCGCTGTTCACCGACAACAGCATCGCCATTGCTCCAGCCTCTCTCAATGATCCAGTTCTCAACACCATCTTGGCCTTCGGCGCAACCGAGACGCGCATACCGACCGACAAACTCTTCCACATCGAAGTCAGCGGTGAAATCGAGTTGCTTCAAACGGCGGTTAGCCCATTCTGGGAGTCGCCAGTCTCGCAATTGGCGAGAGACTGCACCCGCAGACCATGCCGTTGGTGCAAATGATGCGAGCTGCTCGGGCATGTCATCAGTCGGATGGAGGGAGAGGTGGTACCAGACGCGGCTACTGTTAAGAGTGTTGGGAAGATCGAATCGGCCGCGTTTCCCCACAGAGATACCTTCGGTATCAATGGGGAATAGGATGCGTCGGAGGAACGCGTCAATCTCAAGTTCAACACCAACCTTTTCCAGTACCCCCTGTCGTTTGTCGAGATCGTGTTCGCGTTCTCGCCCGGCAAGGCCTGTAAGGATATTGAGGTCTGGTTCAACTTGGGCCACTGCGGAGTTCATTTCGCTAATGACAGAAGCCCCAATGGACGGGAGAGGAATTCCATCGTCCTTCATTTCAGCGTTTAGACCGAGACTATCATCGAAGATGCCTCTCATCATGATCGCTTTACCGAGAGCCGGTCGTGGAATATCGATAACAGTCAGGTTGACTGTGTCATCGTTTGACCATTGTGCTGCACCACCCCCGTTGCTAGAATCATTTTCCAATGCAAGCTGAATATCAGCTGCGATGGCTTCATTTGCTTTGCTGATGACCCAATCGACCAGCGCCTCGTAGATCCCGGCGATCAACGCTTCCCGGTCGTC